TCCTTACTCAACATGTCACAATGGACACTCAGTTCAGAAGTGGACAGGATTCGAGCTGTTTGCATCTAAGTATTACCAGGGATGAAAAATTTATTTTTGGACTGACTTCTAATACGGCCCTGGGTCGAAGTGATCATTGCGTTCTTGTTTGGGAGCATAGTAATTTTTCAGTACCCGCAATTCGAAAAGTAAAGGAGAGAATGTATGGAAAGGGGATTATTCCAAAATGAAAGAACTGCTGACTGAGATAGGATAGAGCCCTGCGCATGTTCAGTTCAGTTTATTGAGGGAAATAGGCGTAAGCCTTTGAGAACCCTATTGACAACCTGAAAAATGTGCGGTATACAGATAAATGTTCTGGGCTGAAATAGTTTAAACACGCCCATAATGGTAGGACAAAAACAGAAGTAGTTACAGGGGTGAGCTCTACTTCTCATCGCTCTTGGTCCTTTTGAAACATATCTATGTCAAGATTCTTTTTAAAACTTTGTATAGATGGTGACATCACAACGTCTGCGGGAAGGGCATTCCATGGTTTGACCACGCGGACAGAGAAGGACAACTTCCGCACATCCAGCCTTGCCTGCTGAGTGCGCAGTTTTAACGGTTGACCACGGAGGTTGGTCATGATAGCAAACTCAAAAAATTCATCGAAGTCACGACTGCAATCCAACACCTTAACAATGCGGAAGGCTTGCAAGAGATCCCCGCGAAATGCCTGTAACTCAAAGGTAAGAAGTTTAGATTTACTAGGCGGGTTGAATAAGGAAAGGAGCTTTGAAGTCTAACAATCTTCGTGGCTCTCCTGTAGACTCTTTCGAGGCAGTTTTGGCCCACAACAGCCCACGGCCTCCAGGCTTGTATGCCGTACTCTAAATGCAGCCGGACAAATGTTCCCAATGCCTTCGAGAAAGCATTTTTGTCAAAGTCCATAAACACAAGCTTGATGGCGTACAGTACGGACATTGCCTTTTTTGCAACTCTCGAACAATGAGCGGATGGCTTTAGGGAACTCGTCGTCGGCATACCGAGGTATTTTTGCGCCTCGACCTCTTATAGGGCTGCATCGCCCAGAAAGTAGTCTCTTGTGCTGGCGGATCTGGCTGTGTTGCGTAGACGAAGTATGCTTCATTTGTTAGTGTTAAACCGCAGAAGCCAACGGTTTGCGCACTCCTCCAACCGATTCAAGTTCATCTGCAGTCTGTCTTCGTCGGCTAGACCCCGAATTACACCCCATATCTTCATGTCATCGGCAAACATTGCTACTTCGCAGTCTAAAGTTTTAAGTTTATGCAAGAGCCTCTGGTGTGGCACAGTGTCGAACGCCTTCTGGAAGTCGATGAAGGCTATGTGGACCGCGTGCCTGTCGTCGAGAGTTCGGGTCCAGTTCTGGAGAGATTGCAGCAAATTTGTCGTGCAGGATCTTCCTCTCCGGAACCCATGTTGGCATTTCGATAGCAGGCCGTGAACTTCCAGGAGTTGCATCAGTTCATTCTTAATGATCCTTTCCATAACTTTGCAGAGAATGCATGTCAAGCTTATGGGCCTGTAATTCGTCTTCGCTGCTCTGTTACCTCCTTTGTGTACCGAAGTAATATGTGCCAGCTTCCAATCGATAGGAAGTGTTCCATTGTCAAATGTATCTGACCAAAACGCCGTCTTAAGAGCGTGATTAAATACTTGGTGGAAAACTTTTGCCCATTTAAAAGGAGATCATGCGTCTCCCGACCAGAGTGGGTGACAGCGGAAATAAAGAGAAACCTCGGAAGGAAATGGAGACTGTGGAAGACATACACCAAATTTCAGCAGTCTAAACCTTTCTCAGAATTTACGAAATATCGAAATAGGTATCGGAATGTCCTGAGAAGAGAAAGAGCAGCATTTGAGTCAAAATAAGCAAAGATATGCCCAAAAATTCAAATAAATTCTTCTCTTGCCTGAATAGGGCGAAACGAAATCCGGACTCCATCCTTTCTCTCAATAATTATCAGGGAAATGAGTTAACCGGTTACTCAGATAAGACGAAGCTCTTTTCCGATTTCTTCATGTCCACCTTTACCGAGGAGCCACCTTTTGATGAAAAAGTATACAAGCAAACTGCCCCACCTGGAAATACAAATAATACAATGGCGTTCACAACGGACGCAGTGAGGAAAACTGTGAGACGGCTGCAGCCCACCGAATGGCCGGGTCCGGGTGGTATATACGCAACATTTCTCTATGAACTCGCAGACCAACTAGCCTCTCCACTCTTCAAGATCTTCGAAAGTTCCATGGAAGCAGGGGCTCTGCCTACTGACTGGAAGCTAGCGAACATCAGTCCCATGTATAAAGGGGGAGAAATAACCTCGCCACATGGCTTCAGTCCAGTGAGTCTCACGAGGATTTGCTGCAAAATAATGGAGAAAATAGTGAAAAGGCAGCTGGTGAGACATATTGAGGAGAACAGCTTGCTTAGTGAGCATCAACATGGATTTAGAGGTGGTCGATCCTGTCTCACTAACCTGATAATATCCATGGAAAACTGGACGAAATTCCTAGAGATGGGTCTGTCAGTAGATGCTGTTTACATTGACTTCAGTAAAGCCTTCGATAGGGTGTCACACAGACGGCACTGATATATAAATTGCGCCATATGGTTGTGAGTGGCAACCTTCTCGAGTGGTTGACCGACTTCGTCACAGGCCGACGTCATCGGGAAGCCAAATCGGAGGGAGAAACCGTTCACATAGGTGTTACACAGGGGAGTGCCCAAGGTCCTATTCTGTTCTTGATAAATGTAACCGATGGCCTAGACTGCCTAACCTACGAGAAGGTAATGTTGGCTGACGATTTGAAAATGTGGAGTTCGACTGAAAAGCCAGAGGATGCGCTAAACTCGCAAAAAACTAAGATCGACTACAATAGTGGTGTGATGAATGGCTTCTCAACCTCCGTTTTAACAAATGCCAATTCATCAGGCTAAGGTATAGTTAGAGAAAGGATTTAAGATCTGAATATCACTATCTCCTCGGCAGTCACGAACTGGAGCTTGCAAATGAGGTAAAGGACCTTGGTGTGTGGAGGAAGTCCACCCTCAAACCCTCCTCTCACTGCGCCAAGATGGCAAAGAAGGCTATGAGTATCCTGGAAGCGATCAGGAGATCCTTCCTTAACTTCGACGGTGAGCTTTTCGGTCGAATGTTTGGAACATTTATCCGAACGATTTTGGAATACGACATTCAGACAGTGTGCTCCTGGATGAGGCAACATTGCACACTCTTGGAGAAGGCGCAACGAAAAGCGACTGAACCAGTCGGTGGGCCGAAGAGCCTTCCTTATGAGGAACGACTTGAAGATCTAAAACTTTTCTTCTCTATTGTAGGAAATACAGAGGGGACATGATCATGGTATTCAAACTTGTCAGAGAAGTAGATTGTGCACTCAACTTGGCCGATTTTTTTTGAACTGACACAAAAAACAAATCTTCGAGATCACATACATAAATTGAAGACGAAGTACGCCAAGCATGAAGTGCGGTGAGATGACGTAGGATGACGGCTAGCGCCTGAACGCCAACCCCACAAGAGAGGCAAACCCGTTGAAAGGAGACAATCACCACCTATAAATACTGTGAGGCGTGGTACAGCACTCACCTCCGACGATGAAAGCTTATTTGCATTTGAAACGTCAGGACAATATAACTATGGTTCCCGAGATCGTCTCTTCTTCTCATTTATGTCGGGGGACGCGCATCTTCGCTTCTATCAGCAATATTTTTGGGCCAGAAGCGCTTGGGTCAGCACTAGGGTAGTAAACATTCTCCCTTGGCGTACGTTCGACGTACACGCAAATCCAATTCCTCCACAGATGCCTTGACAACCATGTGCTTCCCAAGAGTCTGTCTTACAGACCACCGGTGAATACAAGTCTGGCAAAACGGCGGGTGACTCAACATAGCAGACGAATGATTCGGGCACTCCTCCCAGACTGCCACCTTCGACTGTGCAAATACAACGGGGTTTTACACCAAGAAGTCGCAAAGTGCGCTGACGTCATGGGCGAAGACGGCGTCACGCTGTTACAACAAGTAATCGATAAAAGAGCTAGAGATCTGCGGGCAAAAAGAGATACTGGGCTGGCTGCTAAGCTGCGAACTATAAGCTATTAATCTCCGGAAGAAGACAAAATCCTTGCCACAATATGTCCTCCAAACAGCTGACTCCTACACAGTTGAAAGTGCTGAGTCAGGAAGCTTCCTTCAACACCGCAGGTCAATCTCGTGGCCACGGTCGAGTCGACCCTCAAACAAACCGGGGAACCGGACGAGACAACGCATCTCGTTCGGCAACATGATACCTCCTTGGTGATGACGCACAAAACACGTGCGATTATTAAAATGCTCACGCATGTCTCGAAACATACAACACCGAATATTTGGCTCTGATAGACTGTTAGTGGTTTTATGATACTGTTTATTTAGCGCATTCTGAACAAATAATTTGAAAACTTCACTCCGTTTTTGCTGCAGGAAATTTACCCACGCCCTTCGAACACGTTAATTAGCAGTCCGCACACTTCAGACCCGTGTGAAACTAAATATTGGACCTATATGTACAATTCCGATGCAGATAATTTTGGAAAATGTGGTAGGAAAAACCGTTATACTCAACTTCATTTTCTACTGACTATTCTTACGTAGTCTAGACCCTCGCGAGCTGCTTAAAATTAATGTCCAAGGTCCGCGGGCTTTTCGTCCTACGCCGCCCGTCGTCTAGTAACGGCGGCTTTGTGCGTATGCTCTGCGGGTAGTACAGACTCTTAGCTATAGGAACTCAAAACTTTCTCCGGCATAAGAAGGTCTGGCAATGGCGTATGAAATCCTCGAAGGTGTGGGAAATGAGGTTCTAATATGCAGTCTGTTCGTCGGCATTTTAACGGTCTTTGTAATCCTGAAATTGTATCGCGGTGTCAGCTCCAGTCCGTCTACCAGACAGATACACACACCAGTTGCTAATTCAATGAACTCGAACGCTGATACAGCCAACCAGGAAGACGCCATACCGACTGATGAGGATATTGATGCGTTCAACGCCGGCTGCATAGATGATCACGATGATGTTGATGCCGTCAAACGGGAGGGAGCTGCCGCAGGTACCATTTTATTTTCGCACTTGTAGTGCCTACTTTTATGGGATTTTTACGTATGCTGTGATTCTTTGTTGTTTTTACGAAGAATGTTTTATTAAAATATCCGTCGCTGTTGCATTAATCCTGAACTTCTTAAACTGCCTGACGAAAATCTGAAGTGGCCGATCTTGCAGTAGCTAGATCTCACCCTTGTATATTTAACTTTAGAACAAAGCTTAAGGCCATAATGTCTTAGAAAGGCAGTTGTTAAATCTGGACGTGGTTGGCAGATGAACAGCATCTTTTTGCAGTGATATCATGTTGGCATTTTTGGAATAATGGGAATCACTTTCAAAAGTGTTCTTTGTTTTTTTATGTTAACGACACAAGTAACTAGTGATTTTTCCATTAAATCTTCAGGGCCATCAACTGACCCATGCGACTCGGATGCTGCCAAAGAGAAATCGGAAGAGGAGATGAGAGCCCGTGCAATAGCCAAATGCCCTACTGATCATATTGTTCTTCGGCTCCAGTATCTTGACGATCGTGTTCGCTATGTACATGCTCCTGAGAATATGCCAGTCATGTATTTCAAAAGGTAACTCGTACTCATGAAGCATTGAGATTTCGAACTACAGTTGCCATTTTTTGGGTTTTCAAGCTCGAATTTGCCCTTGGCAAGATGCTAATATGCTTCTATTTTCGCAACAGAAAATCTAGAACTTCCATATTTCATCTTCCAGGAAATTTTTCTCCGAGGAAATACTCAACCAGAACAAGAACGTTCGACTTATCTTCCAGGGACGAGAGCTAGCGAATCGCGAACAGACTTCGGGAACCATGTCTGCCCCCATTCCAGAAGATTCTGTTGATCCTTCACTGCGTCGGCTATGTGATTACGGCGTCAGGAACAATTCAACTATCCATTGTCTTGTCAGTGACATGCCGGCCAACCGGTCGTCGCCAGCATTTGCGCGCGATCGCGAACCCACAACCCGTTTCGTGGGAAATACGAGCAGTGTGGACGTTGATTTCGGCTCTTACTTTATGATGCCCCTCTTTGCCTTCCTTATCGGCGTTACCTGGATTTTCCGCTTTATATTCCGCCAGTACTTCAGTTTTCTTTCCACCACAGCCTTAATACTACTTTCCGGTCTGTTTTGCGGCGCAGCCTGGTCGGTTTCTCGAGGAGCCAGACCTGTTCGGCACGTAGAACCCGCTGCAGGTGATGCGACCGCGAGGAACGCACGCGCGGCGCCCCCAAGGGCGGTCGGCTGATTCCCACGTGCCGCTATTTCCCCTAACCTATCTAATTTAGCAGCGTTACGGTTCTGTCCGTAATAGATAACCCTGATAACTTCGATTTCATTTATTTTGAAACGAGAGCTTTTCTTTGAAGTTCATATTCTTCCTCAAAATTCTCTCCCAATTCGGCTCGACTGGGTACAGGCCTTTGGCAGGATGCGTGGTGTGATATTTACACCCCCCACCCCCCATCTGACTTACTTCCTTTAGCTCGCAGTTAGCCTTCCAGTCTTATCAACCAGAATAGTGCGTCTTAGAGCGCCGAAAACAGGACATTCCAACAAAACTTGATGATTACGTTCTCGGCCTTCTTTTAGAGACCTGGACGACAGATGTGCTGTTAAGAAAGCTCGGAATGATGTCCAAATGGTTGCAGTTGCGAAATCTTAATCATTTTTGGAGAGGTGGACGTGCCCGTACCTGATCTCGGAAATTCACGTTGGTTATCATATTAAGAATAAACTTGGGTCAGTTAACCCTGTCGAGGCTCGGTTAAACTGTACAAACTGTATGCAACCCGGCGAAATTATTTTCAGGGAAGGAAAGCATTGTAGCCCAAGACAATGTATTTAAGCAAATACAAAACCCTCATACGGGAACTTTTGTTTCTGTACGAACAGGTTACAAAATAGGTCGTTAGAAATGCCTATTGTCTGCCAGCGCCAGTCAGAGTATTCGGCAAAACACCGAATTACTCTCTCTCCAAAGGCCGACGCGCTGCTTTATAGTTATGGGGTTGAGGAAGCACAGTGAAAAAGGATTTGGCATATACACATGGAGGTCCCTGTACAATTGGTGAGGGGGGAGAGGAGGATAAAGGAAGCATCAGTGTTCCAGGAGATTGAAAGCTTACTTCTGCACAACCTTTTTATTTGCTAGTGATGCCTGCTCTTGTTTATGCTGCAACAGCTTCCTCTTCTTCTTGAGCCGACGTCTGGCAGAAGCTGAGAGGCCGACTCTTTGCGAGATGTTATTGTTGACTGGAATAAGCGATTGAAAATCTGTCTTGGTTTTCTTTTCACCAGACGGCTGCGGATCGTCAGGGGTGCTGATCTGCCTTTTCAGGGACTGATGTCGCGTTAGGGTGACAGAGTTGGTCTCAACCCCGTCACTAGTGGCTGCATAAGGGGCAGAAGTTAGACCAGACAACCAGTCGGGAGATATTACGCAAAGGTAGCGCATCAAAATACGCTGTGGGGAATCTTTATGACTAGGGTCTGTAGTAGTGGCGCTTTTGGGGCTGGAAGGCGATGGTGGTTCGACCGCCTCGCGCTTATTGCTCGCATCGGCGTCAATGGCCTCGATAAAGAGAAGTACCGGAGGCGGAGAGCGGGCGGTGACAGCCAGCGGATAGAGCTGCGAGTCGGGATGGATAGTTAGTACTTGGCGCCTCCGGCCTTTAGGAGCATTCAAGGGGTCGTAGTAGGGCAGGGTGGATCTTTCCTGGCTGGGGCCACCGGCAAGCACGGCAACCTACAATACGGCAGGTGGGAGGTAATGTGATCGAGAGTATTTAATGTGCCGGGCATAGAGAACTAAGAACACATGGTCATCGTAGGTGATCAAATAAACCAGAGCGTGATTAGCATTACTACCGGCTATGACTCCGACCCGAAGATCAGGTAGCCGTACCAGAAAGCACATAGTGGATGGTACGTTGAATTTGCGGCGAACTTGGATACTTGATTCACCCCTCAGCACAGTTCGGTCACTTGCCTTGGGGGGTTTACATTCTACACCACCTTCAACAAAGGCACTGGCGTGGCAAAGACTCACAGCAAACGACCTAACCACTGAGACGGGACACCTAACTAGTCGGTCGCGAATACGGCCGTCGGCGCAAAAGGGCCTTCCACTAGTGGGGCGGAAAGCAGTGGCCGTGCGACACTTTTAAATCGGTTTTCAAAGGAGGCGGAGTTCGTGTATGTCTTCAGTTAAGGATCAGGATGCACTATGATACTGGTCCTCAGAAGCCGTTGCGTAGCCGACCTGCGCGCAGGGGCTGCCATAGGCTACAGTGACTCCCCACAGGTTTCGGGACTTGCTTACTTCCTCTAAATCAGCGTTGACTGACTTCAGCCGGGGAAGTGGCACAGATAAATCTCGAGGGATCACCTCTATGTTTAGTGTGAGGTGTCCCGAAACATTTAACAATTTCCTGAAACAGATGACTGATAAAGCGGCGTTACCAGTTGTGGTATCACCAAGGAGAAGCTTCGTTCCATCACCAGGATGGTATTTGTTGACAAAGTGTCAAGACACTTGGTCCTCGACTGGTACCCATTGATGTGCGGAGGTTGGCAAACCGGCAACAGATTAGCGGGCGAAAAAAGTCGGCATACGAAGGCGAACCCACACGTGCTCGCATGGAGCACTTAAACCGGGCGGTGCTATCAAGACAGGCTCAAACGAGGGACCAGGCACGTGCTTTGCACACAAGAGACGGCCGCCATTTACCACGTCAGATGCGGCATCTGATTTCACGTCCAGTCGGTTTGACTCGCTCGCAATTAGGCCGATCATACGCTGATTCTCCTAACCAAAGTAAATTTGACGCATCTGCAAGCTACCACGAGGCCGTAGAAGTTGATGTCTGGAGTGCCGCCAACTAGGCGGATAACCCAACCCTATAAACTGGAGGTTAGGTTACAGTTGCTTTCCGCTAATGGCTCACGCCAACTGTCAGTCGCCCTGGTCTAGTCGCTGGCCTAGGAGGGGAGGGGGTGGGGCTGTTGCAGCGCAAGCTACCCGCACTACAATCTGAATTACGCACAAGTTACGATTGTCTAACAATGGGGCTGTGGTAAACTTTGCTGGGTCTGGCGGTGAACCAGTACAACTAAGCCGGCATCACTTCCGCAAAGATTCTCCTGTGAGCAGTTAAATCATGCGCGCTGCTGTCGCATTCCTAACGGGATATGGCCGCTGATTGGTGTAACTGTCTTGTGTGGTCAGAGGTAAACCAGGGGTACAAATTTAGTTGATTCTAGGCGCGGTGTGTAAAAAGAGGGCCATATCCCAGAAATGTGTTGGTGAGAGGGCGCCAGGATCCGTTAAAAGTCGAATAAGTGTCACGCATGAAAAAAGTGAACTCGGCATAACAACTCGGTTGCCACCGAATATCGGGAGGAAAAAAGACGCAGGATGTTGTATGTTGTCCCTGCAAGTGCGTGCGATCTCAACTGAAGCTTCAGAATACAAAAACTCAAATGTATGGAACTATGGTCTGCTATTCTCCGGCGTTCGGAAAATAAATGACAAGTGGGCAACAACTACTGCAGATCCGTTATGAACCGCAGCTTTCAGCGACGTCGTGGTTAATAAGCTAAGTTGATTATCACTAGATGTCCAAATGAGGTAACACACTCGCAGAAAACAGACAAGAAGATGCCTAAGACGCAGTCACAGTTTTGTGTACGAGATCACCCAGGATGTTGCTTCCGCAATTTCATAGAGAGATGGTCCAGAGGCCTCTCGAAATCCGGACAAACGCTGTGAATCAGGCTTTAGGTGGAAACAGAAACCCAAAGGATAGTGAAGGTTAAAATCTTCGAGGTCTCTTTAAATGGCCGTATCTTAACCGATATAAGGAACTTGGTCAAACGTAGAGCCAGATGCGCCGATAAAAAAAGAACTGCCGAGGAGGCGGCGCAATCGCTAGAGCGAGAATTGTATGCGTCTGACGTTCCAGATTCTCACTCGACCCGACATCAAAGGCAATCGCAGATAGGGGGTGGAAATCCGAAAGGTCAGATTAATCAAAATTTTTGGCTGGGTACGGGAATATGGAACCTCCGCCGTACTACAGGTAGCTTCGCGACAAATTCCAGGGGGTACCTATCCTCGTGTCCTAACTTTAGCCCTAACCTTCATAACCCCAACCCCCTGGAATTTGGGACAAGGCTCCCTGTAATATGGGAGGACGTCATATTCCCGTGCTCGACCAATTTTTGATCGTACCCCCTTCTCAACCATCTCCTGGAACTTGTCCCTCCGCTTCTACCCATGATGAAAACTGTGCCGAAAACCAATTTCCACGCAACACCTCGGTTTTGTTCTTAAATATTACCTAAAGTGCTGAAAATACTCGGGCGTTGACCCTCGTACGGAAGTCACACACGCGCGGAACCCTCAGACAGACAGAGCTCACCTGGTCACTGAAGGCCACCTCGAAGAAGGCCCGTGCCAGGCTGTCCAAATCCTCGCCACAGGAGCGCAGATGTCCCAGACCAGATCCATGGACTATGGACTTGAGCTGGGCACGGACCTTTAGGGCGGTTGCTAGGCGCGAGGCGTTGAGGAAATTCTCTTTGCACCAGGTCTTTTTTGAAAGTCCGTGATTTCTGTCGGGTTTAGTGCCGTTTGATAACTGGCTCTCCGGCTGCTGTGGTTTCTTGCCCAACTTTGTTACCTTCAGGTAGGCCCGATAGACAAGAACGAGGCTTCCAATGTCGCCGGAGGGGTGTCGGAAACGCATGGCCACCTGG